TGAATATTATGATTTTGATCTTACTTTAACTCTGCCATCATTAAAAGGTTCTTACATCTAATTTGTTGATACTTTCCACTTATTCTAAAATAAAACACTGGTTGTCAATAACTTGAAATGTATTCAGATTATGTATACTGTATGCTAACTGTTTGTTTTAGTTACCAACAGGTATCTGCTTTAGGTAGGAGGTGTTCCCACTGTGTCTACATTTCTTTCATTAATGTCAGCTGTAGCTTTGGTGAAGAACTGTTAGCAGTTTAATGCCGCATCATCGAGGTTCCTGCTGCAGGAACACAGGCCTGTAAAATGCTGAACTCATGTTTGGCAGATGCAGGTCCTCTGGTTTAGGAACACTGTTAAATGGCAAATGTTTGGCCAGTATGGGGAATTGTGTTTATTTTTTGTGGTAATGGTTGTTGAAATGAGGTATGGCAAAAGCACAGGATCTGTTGAATGTTAGAGTTTTCCTTCACAGAGTATAATATCATCATACAATTAAACCATGAAATGCTTGATTCCATTAGCTTGTGCACTGTCTTAAATTACCTTGAATAGCCTTGAAATCTAGTGTTGAATTCTTTCAACCTAACTTTCACATGCAGCACTTTATAAAACCTATACCAGCATCGCTTGAAAAAATTAAACTTTCACAGACAACTGCTATTCGTAGCTTTCAAAGACCTAGTGTAAATGGGAAGTGTTTAATATTTTTTTCTTCTTTTAGGCACCACCGACTTTTGTAATGGGTGATATTTTCCTCACCAGGATACTAAGGGGATTGTGGTACACAAAGACTTTACTGCACCCTGAACATGATTGGCTTGAATTTGCTTTGCTTTGATTTTTTTTTTCACATACACCAGAGATGGTAACAGTAGGGCTAGAGCGGAAAAGGCCATTGATAATACCAATGGAAACACTGTGGTCTCAGCGGCTGTCTAGGCTTTTTTCTGCTGCTTTTAGGAAGAGGAAATGGGGAAGAAGATGAATAATAAGAGGTTCCCCTGTGTAGTGTCGCATGTCAAACCCTCAGTATTGCTGGAATATTCAGCCTGATTCAAAGAAATTTGTGACTGGTCTGGCCAATTTGAAAACTAGCCTTATAATTAGGACACAGCCCAGAACTGTTAAAGAAATAGTTCAACAATAGTTTTGTTTTAAAACTACATGCAGTATAATGACAAATTTACAAAATGTCATATTTGCCTTTTTCACTAATGTGACGTGGTGCAGTTCACTTGGACATGGCTGTGTGAAACAAGCAGTTGGTGTATTATAGGCTCCCGTCACAGGCTTATGATTATCTTTTCTAAGACTTTAAAACTGACTTAAATGCATATCCAGGAAAATGTCCGAGCATGTTTTAAGGCCTTATTACTGTCTTTCAGTTTTACAGGGGGATGTCTCCACACTGGGCCAGGCTTTCCAGCCTGTCCCAGCACCACAAACAGAAACCCATATGAGATCACTGGATGGTAGTGAAGTTAACCGCTAACTGCAGGTCTTTATGGCACATGCTAGATGGAAAACTGCAAACGTTTACTTCCCTGAGGCTCAATCAGTTCAAAATTAGAAAAGTTTTAGACTGCTATTTCTTCCAGCCTGGACTCATTGACCTGCAATCACTGCTCTTTACTCACAATAGCACCGACTATATCCACTCTCTGATTTCTTCTTTTAAATCTCTGGGGAATACAATGATTTTTGGACCTCTTTTCTACGTTGACTGACAGTATGTACTGTTTTTTTCCCCTCAATATTCAGAATCAGAGTCTGCTTTATTGGCCAGGTCTGTTGAACATGAGGAATTTGACTCTGGTACAGCGTCTCTCAATATACATGTACATATCCCTATGCAAGGCAACAGCAAGTAAACAGTAAACCAACATAAGGCTGTGTAGTATAACAAAATAAACAGTATTAACAAGCAATAAACAATGCAGTCAGACAAAGGAATGTTCGTTGGGAGACGAGATAAAAATAGAATAAAAACGGAGTACTTAAAAATAGAGACCTGTACAGATCTGTATAATATATATTTAATTGATTTTTAAGATATGTAGGGCACAATGGTACAACACGACTTTATATTGTTCTACGACTCTTAGCACTGTTAAGTCAGAACACCCCAGTGACAGCTAATGAATTTGAAAGCATGTACGTCTTGTTAGTTAACCACATCCATGTTATACTTAACACAGAAGAACAATAAAGAACATAAAAACTGCCTTGTTGAACTTTGTAAAATATAATATCTTTGAAACATTATGAGGAGACAGTGTACTGACCTTGGCTTTCAGGACTGAGGAAGGGATGCAAGAATAACAGAGACAAAGATGGTATATTGAATTCATGCCTAATCAATCAGTTTCTAATCAGTAAAATGATAGATTTTGGGTAATACTAAGATGAGAGCAAGCACGATTGAAATTGCTGTTTGCATATATGATCATTTGATATAAAATAGGTAATGATGTAATAAATCAAGAGAAATATCCCAGTAGATAATTGATAAAGTCTACCATTATGCCCTAGAAAATTAATTTGAAATAACTGAGAATATTAAGAAAACATTTTGCAGAATATTGCAGTCATGGAGAGGCATCATATATGAGGAGGGAGTGAGGAGGAGTTTTGCACAAGGATTAAAACACAGTGTGTGACCAACTGGTCTCGAGTTGCTTCTGGAACCAACTCAGGTGATTGTTCATTCTTTTGCAATAAACCCCATCCACATTACAGTACAACTATACTGTGTTTTTCACTGGGAGCAAGGTGTGGAGAGACCTTTTCTTTGACTGGCCCAGAGAAAGTCTTCCTCCACAGTATGCTAGGCTAAGCTAACTGACTGCTGTACCCTTCCCAAGTGAAACTGCAAATCTGCCATTTCTTGCACACACTATATGAAATTATTTCTGTCAAAATATTTCAAAATCAAAATAAATTTATTCACAGTCAAAACAAGGTTCCTGGCTAAACCAAAACAGGTGAAATGTTAACTAGTCTATAAGCATTAATATGACTCAGTTAAGTGTTTCCATGCCACTCTAACACTTAGAAAAATGTGTTTATCTCTACAAGTGACTGCTTTAAATTACAGTATGCTAGCAGAGGTTGTAACATGAAAGCTAAATGACACAGTTCCCATGGTTTGTTTCCTTCTACAGTCCAGAGAAATATAGGTCAGCTGAACTGAGACATCCTGTTTGCCACAGATTTGAAAAAAATCACAAACACCATAAGTAGCAGACATTACTTGCACTACTAATTAGTGAGCTGATGAAAATACTCTACTGCATCAGACAATGAGAAACTCCATAGACAAATACAGAGTGGATCACAACCTGTGGGTGGTCATAAAACCATCTGCTGGTGAGAGGTGTGTGCTGGAATCTAGCATCGGCCCTGAGATCTATATAATCATCTACAGCACTGTGTAATACCACAGTATAAATTTTGCTGACACGCTGACCTGGCACTTCCTCAGTGGTTCATCTTCAACCATATCTTTAGGTCAGGTTAAATCATGTGCTGTGTTTTTAAGTAAAACTCCACTGCTGATACTAACATTACAGCAATATGGTACAGCTTAATCACCAATGAAAATATTACTGCTCTGTCTGTAGGGAAGCTTTTCATGAAAATCTCTCTTCTTCAGCTACCTCAGGCAAACATCATTTTGAAAATTTCTGTAATTGCTCTGTTTATCAGTTTGAGAGGTCTATACAAATATGACTACTCCTTTTATATAAATTAAGCAAGATAAGATTTAAGCAATTGGAAGTGTTCTGTTACTGTCCATAATTTACAGCAGTACAAATTGAAATTGGTGGATTGTTGTGAACAGGCCTGTTATCTTATATTGCATGATGGTGTTCAAAGGAAATAGAAAATGAGTCAGTACTGCACCCACTATGACACTTTACACAGCTTATCTCTAAACTTGCAATCAGCAGTTTTCAGTCTCACTGGAAACAAAACGTGGACTGAATTTGACAGGCTTATTTCACATCATGTCGACAAATTAGCTCAAGTTCAGTGGTAGAAGTACTCAGATTCTTTGCTCATGTCAAAGTAGCAGTACTTGTGTAAAAATACTCTAAGTAAAAGTCCTGCATTCACAATTTACTTAAGTGCAAAGCATTAGAATAAAATATAGCACACTCAAAGTACCAAAAGTAAAAGTGCTCATTATGCCGAATAGCACATTTCACATTGATGTATATTATATTATTAGATTATAGTTATAGAGACATTATTGTGTACATTTACCGTTACAGCTAGTAAAAGTGGAGCAAATTTTTTTACTTTATATGCTTAGAATTTGAAGCACCGATGTGAGGCTTGTGAATTTCTCACCAGAGATCAATAAGGCCTGATTATATTGTATTTTGTTCTGTTAATCAGATTCTGACAAATAACCAGTAACTAAAGTAATCAAATAAACGTAATGGAGTAAAAAGTACAATATTTGCATCTAAAATGTAGTGAAGTTGAAACATCACAAAATGAAACTACTTAAGTAAATACAGATAGCCTACATCAAAATTGTACTTCAGTACAGTACTTGAGTAAATGCACGCTACTTAGTTAGTTTCCACCTCTGCTCAACTTGTTTGAGTTGTATTTTTATTTTCTGCCTCTTTGGTAAATGCTTATTGTCTCGAAGTTTCAAGTGGCTCATTTTAAGTGTCATTAATTCGAAAACGCCTACCAGTGTCTTTATGTGAGTCAGGACATCCTGTACCACTCTGAACTGTAATGCTGCCTTCGTGTGCTCCGCGTATGCCTGGGCTTCTCCGGCCAGAAATGGAATGTAGATGGTGCATAGTAACTTTTGATCATTAGACCAAAATGCTTTTAATCACAACGCGGTGACATACCTTGCTAACACCTTTCATTGTATAAATAATACCTGACAGCTGCAATTATTTAATATGGAAAGTCCGACTTTTTGTACTTAATTCAGTATGTACAGCATTGCCTGAATGCAGCACAGAAAAGAGGAGTGGGCGCGTGAGAGTGTTTGAAGTGACGTCATGGCACGGTGCCCCGTCCATGTTTGGCGCAGATGAAGTTTGTGTAATCTCGACAAACTGTTGGCGCGGGTGACAAGTAGAGCTAACGCTAATTGTTTGCTCATAAATTCATTTCGTTTTAGGTCTTATCCTGTCAGCGTAAAATTATCCAAGGTGTCCTTGCTTAATTTGCCATCATTATTTAGTTAACATTATCTTAAAAATCTGAAAGACCAGAGCGGGTGGTTCTGGATTTTTGACTCACTCAGAATTGACGGCTAATTAAAGGTTGTGAGTTGTGCAGTTATCCAACAGCCCCACTAAAGTTATTCTTGAATGGGCTGCTGAGGGGATTTATCCCCGCAACTGAAAAATAGACTTCTAATTCTTCCGAAAGTGTAGCATCGTCAGTCGTGTGGTCTCGTATGAACCGTGTCGCGGCAGCAGCGAGGGGTCGGGGGCTCCTCAGGCAGACCCGGGCTTCATGATGAGGACGCCCAGAGGAGGACGCCTGTTTCTGGCGACGTGCCTCGGCTCGCTCTTCGTTCTCGTGCTTTACTTTCAGAGCATCACCAAGCCAGGTAAGACCGCGCACACACTGAGCCACAAGAAGAGTCACACTAACCGAATTGTAATATTAGAAGTGCAGCTTTTGTGGAGTGACAGTGCAGTGATATAGAATTATAGAGTCAAACTTTACAGGCACGTGCCGTTTGTAGCACAAACACACACAAGCAAGCGTTTTAACATTAATTATACTTGTGTGAACTCCAAATATCTTATTTGGTGCTATAAATAATAGACACCTCTAAAACGAATGCTCATAACTGCAGTGAAAATGATAAATTGGATTAATGGCGATCACAAAATAGCTTATGGGAATGAAGCATTTTATATATATATATAGAAAACAAATAGAGTGGTGGCCTTACATGCACTTTTTTAAAATCATCCAAGCTTTTAAATGTGCCTGTGTGTTCTTGCAAGCATTGTACATCTTTGGTATACAATAACTGAGACAGTGACACTGACACACCTGCGTGTGTGTACATACATTAATGTTCATTCGTGAAACAGATGCATATGCATGGACATAATGAAACTAAGTATGAATAAGCCCACTGTGAACGGTGGAATGTTTTGAAAGCCCCCCTCAGTGACCCCATGCATTCCTCGGCTGTAACCCTGCTCTCCTCTTCTTACCTCTGCACTCCTTTCCTCTCCCTTTGTTTCCTGGGCTGAGCTCTTTCTGGATGTTGACAGACAATGGACTGTAGTCTTAAAGGGAGAGAAGTCAGAGCTCAGCAAGAAAGACAGGTAGAGGTATTTGATTTGCACACACCATGCATGCTGAAGCAAAGTAGCACATGGTAGAGGAAAGGGTGGAAAAGCATTTAACTATAAAGGTGTTTTGCATGTAGTTTTAAACAAGAGAAGGAGGAGAACAATGTTGAAGGGGTGAAGGCAGTGCCCAGAGGAGTTTGATTAATAAAGGTGGAAATGTGTTCCTGTGAAATGTGCACGGTGTGACCTGGATGATGTTTCACAGCTGTGGTGAAACATGTCATGGTACATACTGAATCATATGTCATTATATGAAAGATAATTAAGAATGCCCATGATGACAACAGTGCTAATCCAAAATTGTGTGTGTGTGTGTGTGTGTGTGTACACATGCTAGACCACCACACCACAGCTGTCAGTGGCTGGCAAACAAACCACATGTTGTTAAACCTGCAAGCCTCCCTGAACCTTCTACAGTCATGGCCAAAGATATTAGCACCCCCTGCATTTCTCTCAGATAACACACCACTTCTCCGAGAAAATTGTTGCAATCACAAAGTCTTTGGTATTCTCATGTTTATTTCTTTTGTTTACATTGGAACAACACAAAAAAGCAAAAAGCCAAATCTGATCCATTCCACACAGAACTCCAAAAACAGACTGGACAGAATTATTGACACCCTCAACTTAATATTTGGTAGCACACCCTGTTGTGGAAACCACAACCCTTTAGACAAAATAACTGAAATCAGTTGCTTCCTGTAAGCATCAGTGAGTTTCTTCCACCTCTCTACTGAAAGGTCTTCTTTTGCCAACTGCTCCAGGTCTGTCAGATCTGAAGGGTTCCTTCTGCCAGCTGCTGTTCTGAGATCTCTTCATAGCTCATTGTCTGAAACCATTTCTGGTGTTTTCTGAAGTCTGCTTTGGGTCATTGTTCTGCTGTAATACCAATGACCTCTGATGGAGACCCAACATTCTGACACTGGGTCCTGCATTGTGTCCCAGAATTCATTGGTAGTCTTCAGTTGTCACAATGCTACATACAGTCAAGACATCTAATGTCTGAAACAACAGATCAACCCCAAAACATCAGTGAACCTCCACCGTGTTTGACTGTAGGGACCGTGTTCTTTTCTTTGAAGGCCTTGTTTTGTTTTGTGAAAACCGTAGAATAATGTGCTCGACCGAAAACCTCTATATTAGTCTCATCTGTCCACAGAACCTTCTCCCAGAAGGACTGTGGCTTCCTCATGTAAGGTTGGTCAAACTCCAGTCTGGCTTTTTTATGTTTCTGTGAGGGGCCCCCCCCCGGTGGTCCCCTGCCATAGCGTCCCCTGTCATTCAGATAGTGACGATAGTGCGAGCTGAAACTGTTGCACCCTGTGCCTGCAGGTCAGCTTGAACTTGTCTGGAAGCTGATCGAGGTTCTTTATCTACCATTCAAACAATCCTTTGTTGCAGTCTGTCATCTATCTTTTGCTTTTGTCCACCTCCAGGGAGATTAGCTACAGGCCCATGGCCTGTAAACGGTGTACACAGGAACAGCCAGATCTCTGGAGATGGACTCGTAGCCTTGAGATTGTCCATGTTTTTCCATGTGTGGTTCTCAAATCCTCAGACAATTCTTTGTTCTTCTTTCTTTTCTCCATGCTCAGTATGGTCCACACCACACAAAGGTTGAGTCAACCTTTCTCCATTTTAAATGGATGCAAGGGTGATTTCTGTATGGCCAACACCTGTTGATTGCTACAGGTGAAGTTTCATTGCAAATTAAAGAAGGATCACATACTTGAAATGCAACTATATCTGATGATTTTGGAAAGGTATCAGTAATTCTGTCCAGTCCATGTTTGGAGTCCTGTGTGGAATGTGTCAGATTTGGCTTTTTTGTGTTGTTCCAGTGCAAACAAAAGAAATAAACATGGGAATACCAAAGACTTTGTGATTGCAACAGTTTTATGGAGAAGTGGTGTATTATCTGAGAGAAATGCGGGGGAGCGGGGGCGGCAATATTTTGGACCATGATTGTAGATGTATGCAATCTATTCTTAATACCTGACCTGTTTGGACTGGTCTGCTTTATAGCTCCACCAGTAGCTGTGTAAGCCACATTAAAAGCATTCTGGAGCCATATTAGAGAGGACTAATTCACAGGATGTCAACAAAGCACATGGTTTCCTTAATTACTGTTTATCTAGTGTTACTGCATTTGAAACTGAACACCAGGTTTTTGTTTACTTCTGTATTATTACGTTGTTTCCTTTCCTTTCATTTCTCTTCTCTGAATTCTTGCTTCTCTGACTGAAGCACAGTGTATTCAAAAGAATAGACAAGATAAGGAACCAGCCAATAGTCTTTAACTAAATGAATCTGTGACACTGTCAGGTATAAGGAAAGATATTTTGTGTAGAACATCTCCCTTATCTACACAGACATCAGCAAAAGATTATGAAAATGAGGCCTTTTGATTTTAATACAACACCTGATAACATGGATTCACCACTGTTTAAAGGACAGGATCTCCACTGCCACATTTTATGTAGACCCAGTGGAAATATCGTCACTGTGACGTGATATCTTTCCCCAAACTGGATGATTATTCAAAATGAATAAGAGAGTCGAGAATAAGTTTGAAACAGCTTTGATCAGACGGTATGATTTAGTGTGGTGCAGGTACTGGAGAAATATAAACCGGTATATAGAGGATGATTTATGTGAGTTTTCTTCTGACAATGTTACCTGGAGAGAGGAAGGCGCTCAGTTGAGATTAGAGAAGGGGAAAAACAGTGCTGATGATGAATTTAACTCAGTGGTTGGCATTATATTACTGTGGTACTGCAGTAATAGTCCGATTCTTGTGAACTACAGAATACATATGCATACTCCTACACATGTGACTAGCTGTGAGATCTGCTAGTCACTATGATGGTCTCTCCTCAGGGTTGTATTGTGTCCTTTTTATATATTTTTGATGATACAGTTTAACTTAGCCTTTCAGCTAAGAGAGACAAGACGTGGTCATGTACTGGAGGAGTTTGCCCAGTGGTGCACAAACTCTTATTTAGCCCTCAACACTAACAAATCAAAAGAGAATGATGAAATAGATTTCTGACAAAAGTGCTGGCATTGCTGTCGTCAGAACAGCTGTTCGTCTCCCAGCAAGACAGTGACCAGACAAATGGGCTGTGGGGATTATGCTTTGTTAAATGCACCAGAGAGAAGAAACTTGGAAAGTGGTGAAAATAGGGGGTTCTGAGGTGATGCATGTCTCACACACACTTCTGAGTCAGTACGAACTGACACATTTGATAGTGGAGTTCTGTCTGTTGCGTAAGAAGGGCAAGTAACACTTGTAAACACTTTTTTTGAGAATTGGCCTTCACCTGTAGCAGCCAAGAAAAACACACAGATAAAGTCAACTCTCCCATCAGAAACAAGTCATGGGTATGGAAGTATTCTGGATTAAAAAGGACACACACAACAGTAAGTGTGAATGTTATGTTTTATTATTATTTTTTAAGTATTGGCAGACGTCGGATCGCTGGCAGAGAATTGATTTAGGATTGTATTGTGATGAGAGTGGAGATTTACACCCTTACTGCGCACACTGATGGCTAAATAAGTTATTTAGCTTAATAACTAAATAAACAAGAAGTGCTTTAAATATACTGAAGCTCAGTTACAGGTGTATGATGCTGATAAACTTCATGAATTATAAAACACACTTCAAAGTTACTCATCACCAGTGCAGTTTACGTTGTATGGTGAATCTGTCCAAGTGGCGTGTACCAGAACCACTGGTCAACCAGCATACCACATGTAGCATTGTTATTAAATTCAAATGGATGTGTTCTGCTGTCAAGCTGCATATCAGAGTGGTTGATAAAAAAAAATTGGTAGATTATGAAGTCTCAGGTTACTGCTGTGTATTGAAACTACTTCATAAACCAGCGATGACTTTAGCCATATTAGAAGCTTTTTTGTTTGTAGGATTCAGGCTTATTAGAGTGAAATAGGACAACATGTCAGTTAGTGAAGGATGGGTCAGTGTCTTTTTTGGGGGGGAATGTGAAAATATTTTTAACATAATGCTTTAATTTTGCTGACATGTACTATTTCCACTCATCGTCATTTGAACCAAAGTAGCAACAAATGCCCACTTTTTTCCCCCTCAGACTCTCATGTGGTTGCATTGACTCAGCAGTGCTGTGACACACTGTCATTGCGTCTGTCATTTGATTGTATGTACATTATTATGCCAAGTAACCTCACTCTGTGGGGAAGGGCAGTACACAGT